AAGCAAGGCTCTAGCTCCAAGACATCCAGCAAGACATGGCTCACCTTAAGGGATCCCTTTTCGGGTAGGGTTTTTAGGATTTAGGGTTTAAGGTCTAGGGTTTAGGATTTAAGGTTTAGAGTTTAGGATTTAAGGCTTAAAGGTTTAGGGTTTAGGATTTAAGGTTTAGGGTTTAGGATTTATGGTCTGAGGTTTGTTTAGAGGTTTAGGGCTTCTAGGGTTCAAGGACTACACACCAACACACATCAACACTCCCCCAACCCTCCTCAACCCCAAAAAAGAAACCCAAATCAAGAGGCGCAGTGACTAATCAAGTATTTGGTACCATAGGGCTTGCTGAATCGTGGATGCGGAGGAGGGGGGTAAGTGGTTTAAGGTGGGAATAATTTTGGATCCCATGGTCACCTTGCTATTCAGCTTCTCCACAAGCAGCTTGCACCTGCCGGAGAACAGCTGGCGCTCGAAGTCCACCTTGAGCTCTATCTCCAAGCCTTGTCTATGCGTTGTTCAAAATCATGGGTCCTACTCTCTTTTTTTTGTGGGGGGAGGGGAGGGGGGGGGTGTGGTTTGGAGTTTATCTTTATGTTTGTTCTTGGACAAGGCATCAAGCCCGTCCGTTCCATACCCATTTAAAGATGCTCTTGATTATGGTCCTGTGTCCCTTGTCCAGACCCGTTCGTTTCCCTATTATTATAATGCCGAAGTTTGCTCCATGTCCGTTCCAGACGAGCTTTGATCTGAGAGCTCCATGATAGACCTATACTTATACGCATTCCAGACCGCCGTAGAGTCCGGATCAACTCAAGTAACGTATGATGGGTGGCCCCGAAAGCCACCATTTCCGCCAAATAACATGAAGAAGGAGTGCATGTATTGCGGGGGTATGTTAGGGTTCTGTTCATGAGACACTCTCTTGTCAGTGGCTTCATCAAACAACGTCTCAACGCACACTTCACAGGGCTGCGATGCCTTCTTCACATCCTGGTGGCAAAAATTGGATTCCGTCATAAGCCCTCAGAATGCATACGATATACTACTGTTGACCTCGGGGTCCTCCAAAGTTCCAAAAGACGAGCACCCAATAAGGAAAACTCGCTTCGCGGCTGAGGCTTGGGCGCTTAACCACGGCTTCCCAGAAGTTGGCCACGGAATGCGGGCAAGCCACGCCAGCCTGGGTGTTCCCCAATGACGGATGAGGTTCAAATGCACATTCCATGAATATGCCCTGAGCACTAAAATTCAAATGGGTTTCGCAACTATGCTAAATACAAATCCCGGACTAAGAGCTGTTAGTTCCGCATATTACTGTAACGCTCCTTCCTTGCCCAACATTCAAGCACAACTCCACAAAATGTGGGAAATTGTCAGAAACATGGTTGCCTGAACAATCGGGAATACCAAAGTCGCCCCCAGCTTCTAACGACCTACCCCACCATGAAAATCCCCTACAAGCCCGCACACAATCCTAAACCCAAGCCGCGCGCCTCAGGAGCCAAATTCCACCTTAAACCATGAATCCTTGGCCTTTAACCTGAACCCATAAACCCAAAAACCTGAATCCAACCCCTGCCCCCTAGAAACGGACCCAAGCCTACAGCCCTTAGAGCCCTGAACCCTACACCCCCATTTGCCTCAAACCCTAAATCCTAAACCCAAAACCCTAAACCCAAAGCCCCAAACCCTAAACCCTACAAATTCTACACCCTAAACCCTAGATCTGCATCCTGCCTTCTTTGCGGCTGGCTTCTTGGCGATCTTGGCTGCGGCAGGGCGCTTGACCTGGGGCGCACAGTTGAGCTTTTAGGGTTGATGGCCAGGTTGCCAGGATGGGCTACTAGACCTTAAAGGGCCCCTACTTGGGGGGTCAGGGGGACTTAGTAAGTAGGTTAATAATGGGGATAAATGGGCTTACTATATGGGTTATAGGGGTTATTAACCTACTTACTAAGTCTCCCTGACCCTCCAAGTAATCTACCCTTCTTAAGGTACTATTAGGGAATTTTAAGGTCTAATAGCCCATACTGGTGGGGCTTTAGGTTTGGGAGGTGTCGGGTTTAGAACTGTAGGGGCTAGGGGAGAGAGTGTTGTTTGGGTTGTTTGGTTGAGGTTAAGTTGAATTGGTCAGGTGTCAGTTCTAGGGCCTCTAGGCGGTTGGGGTTTGGGCATTAGGCACGGATTGAGGATCTAAAGAAGGTTCCAGTTCAAGTTTTCGGGTTGATGATTGGGCTCCAGAGGGCCCAGGGTTGGGTTGAGGATGAGTTGGAACGAGCAAGTCGGCGGCTAATGCTGATCAACAGAAAAGCGGATGCTACCCCAAGAGTGCCCAAGATTCCAGTCGCGGTAGTACTGCACCCCTTCTGGGTAGGGCTCAATCAGCACCAGTTTATGCGGGATTTTCTCAAGATTCTTACTTTCAAACTTCAGCCCCCCAAAAGGCACATTTCAAGAAATTCTGAAGTGAATTCATGGTTTAGATCCACTGGGCCCCGGCTAAAGGTTGCCAGTAACTAGAGCAAAGCAGCATCATGGTCTATAGGGTTTAGAGCTCTACATGTGCACCCCACAAAGGCTGGTACTTGTGAGGGAGCGGGAGCGTAACTATACTTCAGCATGCTCCGAGCTTGGTGGTATACTCCCATTTGTACCTCTACTCCCGTAACCACCAGTGCACCTCTCGAGCACGAGGGCGTGAGTGGTATACTCCTATGCGGAACTCTAGGTACTCTAGGTTTCTCAGAGTCCGGTTCCCGTTTGAGTGGCTCCTGAAGTTATGCACTGTGCTGGGGTTATGTAGTTGGTTTTCCACAAGCAGGAAAGCTGAAAACTTCATAATATCCTCAACCGCTCTCAACTTTGCACTCTAATCTCTAAAGCGCAAGAAACAATTACCTATATAATCCCTTGATAGCCCCTATAGGAGCCCTGTATAGCCCATATAATCCATATTGACCCTGTATAAACCCCTAAACCCAGGAAGCCCAACCGCCTCAAGCCTGAATTCTGATTCCCAATGTTTAACTCCTGGCCCCCTAACCTTCAGAACCCGGGAACTCAAGGTCGCTGCGGGCGCGGACGCCGAGGCCGGGCGCTTCTTTGGCGCCATGGCGCCAAAGTGACAGCCGTAACAGCCGTGACAGCCCAGACCCCTTCTCACACGGCCGTTTATTGTTCAAGGATTCTAGGGTTTATAGTGTTTAGGTTTAGGGATCAGCTTGCTGCAAGGCAGCATGGCAACGTCAAGGGCTGGAAAGGGATTGCATGAGGTATCAAGAGGGCTTGGACAACCCCGCCCCCCCAAAGTCGGACCTATAGTACTCATATGCATGCCCCCGATTATAGTAGGAGTACAGAGGGATGTGTTGGCTTCAGGGCTTCATGGTGGGAAAGTACTGCAGCCCTGTCTGTCAGAGCACTTGAGCACTTACACGACGAACAAAGCCAGGTGTGACGGATTCCCTGATCAAATCCCGGTCCATTGGAACACATAAGGACTAGTGTTGAGGCTCCTACACTAGGGTACGTTTGGAGGCCCTATGCAATTCAATTGTTTTGTTGCTTCATAAGTTTAATAAATACAAGAAGGAATCAATGTAATTAAAATTAAAAAAAAGAAGTTTCAAGCCTACCCCTGTGCAGTCCTACTGCGTACGCAAGGATACTGAACCCTACTCCCGAAGTCCTTGAATATCAACCTTTAAACCGGAACCCCCACATCCTCAAACCAAAACCCCTCAAGCTCTAAAATTCAATGCTCTTAACCCTCATACCCCATTTACGCAAGTATATACGTATATGTATTTATCACAATACAGCCCTATACTGTTGTCCGGGCCCATGGTCCTTGGAAGGCTGATCAGCGTGCTATCGTTTTTGGGGCGTTAAGTGCTGTGGTTTTCCAGTCGAAAACCTTCCGGCACAAATCCAATCTCGATCCTGAATTTGTCTCATATGACCGATTCAGAACCGGGTGTCATATTAACTACAGTGTTATTATTTCCCATACAATTCATGGACATGGGTTCGTATTAAACTGATAAAGGGACCCTAATGTCCACCCTTCCCCTTTCTGTGTATACCTAAGATGAACAGTTGACAGTAGCTCATATCTCCCTGTATATATTCCCTTAAACCCTGAACCCTAAATCCTGAACCCTAACCCTAGATCCTAAACCCTAGACCCTATATCAAATCCTCAACCCTAAACCCTAAACCCCTAAATCCTAGCCCTCAGCTTCAAGGCAGAGCAGTAACCAAGCCTCTGCGGCTTCAACTGATGGTGGTGCGATTACTGGAGCCTCGCTGAGCAGGCTTGGGATTGAGGGTTTAGGATTTAGAGTTTTTTGTTACATCGGCTCTCTTACGTCTGCACGACGAAAGACACTCCTTGGGTCGTGGGTTTAGGATTTAGGGTTTAGGGCTTACCAAATACAAGCAATAAACTATGCAGCCATAATTTTGGTGTTGAAGGCCAGGATTTTGCGTGTTTGCGAGGTTTAGGTAGGATTTGGGGCGCTCCTACACATTGACATGTTATCAACCTGCAATGTGCCCATCGCATACTAGATCTACATCCCTTAGTATGAATTCTGGAAACAATTAGAAAGGAACCACCTTTGAGAAACATTCTAATATGCCAGCAGCTCGCAGGTATTTAGCAATTGGGCTCTTGTTGAGGTACCATCTAACGTTATCTTTAGCCTTCATTGGTTTAGCTAAGTCTTCATGACAATTCAACATGCACTTACTTCAGCCCATAGCCCGAAACCCTGCAGTCTGCACACCACTTTCAAAGCGTATGGGCCTGGGCCAGAGTGTTGGCTGGATCCTTCACAAGCTGCAGAAGTCGAGCCCTTGCAGCTTGCGAAGGCTTAAGGTTTAGAACTTAGCTGCTAGGGTTCAGGATTTGGGGAGGGGTTTCAGGGACTGTGGATTATGGTGTAAGAGTTGGAGTTTACGATTAGAGAGGGCTTGCGACACCAGAAACTGCATGCAGCTTTGAGGGAGTCGCAGTTAGCTTCCAAGCGAACTTGGAGGTCAGATAATTGGGAAAAAGGAGAACTGAAATTATGAAATGTCAAGGCATAATAAGAACCATCACAGCTGTTTATCGACATTACCAATGGTAGATATTCTTGTCATCTTGAGGATTCATTCTCTCATGAATGGCAGTTGCCTTCACAATAGGGTCGCTCTCTGTTGCAAGGGTTCTACTGGGAACCCCAAGCAGGGAACCCCAAGAATACAGCAGGAATATGGTAGGATATGGGGACCCTGTAGGCATGTTCCTATTATATTCCTACTATATTCTTGGGGTTCCCTGTTTGGGGTTCCCAGTACAGTCCCTTTATCTGAGTCCATGAGTCATTGAGGTCCCAGCTTTGGCAGTTGGAGGTTGCGTCCGGGACCCAAATCAGCCACCTCAGACTGTACTCGTCTCCCAGACAGGGGCAGACTCCAAACTACAAATAGCCTTCGTATTAATGGTATTCAT